TCTGAGATGGAGTCTCCCTCTGTCACCCAAGCTGGAGTGAAGTAGTGTGATCTTGTCTTACTGCAACCTCCACCTTTTGGGCCCAAACAATTCTCATTCAGCCTCCCAAGTAGCTGATGATTACAGACGCTCGCCACCACACCTTGATAATTTTTTAATTTTTAGTAGAGATGGGTTTCACCATGTGGGCCAGGCTGGTCTGGAACTCTTCATCTCAAGGGATCTGCATTCCTTGGCCTCCCAAAGTGCTGGGATTACAGGTGTGAGCCACCATGCCCAGCCTTCTCTTTCTATTAATAGAGTTCTTCCAGAGTCCTCTCTTTGCCACCTTTCAAAAGGACATTGCAGTGTGTTGCTGTCAATATATTTGATTAATATTCATCTACACACACTACATATACCCACACTTAAAAACATACCCAGGGATAAATTTCAAGAGCTCAGGTACCATCTATTCCTTATTTACATGTTCTATCTCTCAGTATCTGGCATACAGCAGGTAATCCTATGTATTTATTGGGTGAGTGAATAAATCTATTGCAGGTAGGCCAGTACACTTAGGAGGGCCTGGGCTGGATGCTCTGTCATTGGTGTACTAGGTTTTTCCATTTATCCACGTTCTTAGTATGCACAGGGTTTCATGAACAGACTTAAAAGTGTACCTTTAACTACAGCTACTTGTCTTTCAGCTAGTGTCTCACCTAGGAAAATGAGGCGTAATACAATCACATTAAATGCAAATCTGACCCTGTGTCATAAATAGTTCAGAAGTGAATGTATTCTCATGCCTGTAGTCTTCTGGGAGGTGATCCACACTGCTGAAATGCATACAAGTTGACTTTAGCTGGGAGATACATAAACATGGTTTTTCTCCTGGACAATTCTGGGCTTTCACCAGATAAAGGACAACCTCCTAGCTAATTAGCATGCTCACAGAAAATAAAAAAATAAAAAAAATAGTTTGAACTCCCCCACCCTCACAGCATAGTTTTTAAAAACCCAGAGTGCCAACAGATATTAAATACAGAATGTATCTTCAAATTAATGAGTTTTCATAATTGAACTTGAGAAGGGACATAGAGTGAAGTGAAGTCTTAGCAGGGAGAACATCCAAAAAGCTTCCAGATGACTGTATTTAGCCCATTAGTGTGCCATTTATATATGCCAGTTAGAAATAATTGAGTGGTGGCACAGTTTTTAGAGCACATTCTCAGGATACTCCTTTACTTTTATTTTCCAAATTGAGGTATAAAGTTTAGATGGCATTTAAAAGAGACTCAGAGGTGTAGTTTGACCAAGAAGCAGTTTTGCAAACTCATTCCAGATTGTGTCTGTCATTTGGTGTTAAATTGGACCTAAATGAGTCATTTATTGGGGAGGTGAGAAAGGGTGTTATATTTGAAAAATGCCCCAAGCATTTCCAGTAGACTTCATTTGCACTCTGTTTCTGATGGAACCATCTCTTCAGTTAAATGTAAGAGATCTAGGTCTTCCATGGCAGAGATTTGTTATACTAGGACAGACAGGAAAGGGTTTTAAAAACCCATGACATGACATGCTAAATCTCTGCACATGCATGTATGGGTATGAATGTAAAAGCACATATGCATTTTCTCTGGGAAATAGGTCCACTACTTTTATCAGACTTTGTCAGTGGGTCAGGGTTGCCAGAAGGATATTTCTTTCCAGTTCAGGAAGAGGGATCAAGTGGAAAAGGTTTGAGTTAGGCTTCAGGTGGTAATGGCCCAAGAAGAAAATTGCAACAGAAACTACAAATTACTCTACAAACGCAGCAGGAGGAGGACATTTCCTGCAAGTAATCCTGCAGCGTGCACACCTTTGTGAAGAGTAGTTTCAACATGAGGAGACCAGAGCTTCCAGGGTCAGAATTTAGTGCTGATAGGCTGACCCTGCAACCAATCTGGCATCTACTAATTTGAGGAACCAAAAGAGGTGGTCCTTTGAAGGGAGGCATGCCACTCTCGCGGTAAATGCACAGGTCTTTCACTGAGTTTTTTGCTTTTACATTTAAAATATCTTTCCCCTCCAGAGGTGAACAAAAATAAAACATTACTAAAATGTAAAAAAAATAGGAAACAGCAGTTCCTATTAATTCTGATTTCCAAGGTTCATTTTGAAATGAAAATGACTTTAAATTTTGTCTTGATTATAAAAAGTATTCTCTGCACTATAAAAATAAATAAGGTAGGTAATATGGGAACATATAATGATAAGGGGAAAACTCCACCCATAATCCCACTTTTTCTTTGCATTGTTATGTATGTTCACACCAAAAATGGGCTGAAGCTATACATGGTTGTTTATAACCCAGACCCTTGTAAAGTCCACATTGAAGAGGAAAAAAAAAATTCCCATGTGCATGCAAAAGAAAATGGGTATGGTTTTCATCATTTACATTTTCTGACTCTGGAATCTTCAGCATGTCTCCCTGGGAAGCTAGAGGTATTGTTCTTTTGGGGCAGAAGCTGAGTTCACTGTTGGGGGAGAAACTAGTAGTTGCAGAGCCAGGTTCCATCAATTCTTTGGAAGCTAATCCAACCAAATCAAGTGAGCTGAGCCCTTGGTCCTCAGAAGAGAACAGCGGTGATGTGGGGTTATGGCGGTGTTTGTTCCCACCCAAACATCGGTGTGTTTTCCTAGCATTCGCACCAGTGTATGTTTTTGTCCTTGAATTGGATTGAATTAAGCCTCTCATACAGTTTTCTCAAGACCTCCAGGCTAGCTTAGAATATGGTCCTCAAAATTCTCCCACAGGTACATCAAGTATAATTTTAAACAGTCTATCTTGCCTTCATTAAATACATACCTAATTGTTCTCAATTTTGAATCCTTGCCAATACCTACATTCAAATATGTAATAGTCAAGAGCAAATGAAGTTTTTGTCCTCTTTGGGCTTTCTTTAGATACTTGTTTCAAAGCAAGGACTAGAAGGAGAGGAATTCTAGGGACCTGAGAATTGAATGAAAATGAAAGGACCTTGCAAATTTCCAGCAGAATTTCAGGAGAATGAAAGATGAAGGCTACCTGGGGAGACAGCAAGGAAGAATGGTCTTGATAGGGTTGATCGTAACACCTGATGGTAGATTTGGGCTCTGTAAAGAACTTTAGGGATCTAGAAAGCTCAAAGTCAAAGCTCTTATAAAGTACTTTAAAACCACGAGCTCTACAGGATCTATAAGGGAGGATGGAGAGGCCCTTCCTGTCTTCTACCCCGTACAATGCTTTAAATCGGGTAAGTATAGTGACATGGTGTGGATATGAGGCATGACTTCAGGATTTTCGTTTTGAATAGGGAATGCTAAACACCTGAGATTACCACAGTCTTTTATTGGAGAAAATAAGAACTACAGTTATTTTATTTCTTACCCACTATTTTCCCTCCCATTAGGTCTTACTCTCCATTCATTCACCATTCTAACAGAGCATTTCATAAAATGAGAAGGGTCTTTGCTGAGCAGCTTTTAATGAACAAGCAGTTGGTTATTCAATTAAAGTTAAATGGAACTCTTCCCCTTTGAATGTTACAATACTTGGACTTTGGACAAGTTGTAAGTCTAAGAAAGGTGATCCCCAGAGGCCAACTCATATACAGAGTTTGATCCTGGTTTTCAACCAACAGTACTGTCATCAGTTTAAGAGGCAAAGTGTAATGCTTACAAAATTGATTAGCTAAGAATTATGGAAGTTCTTCCTATATTAGTAATTTATACACATAGAAATACCAGTAAACATATAATGCTAGGCATGATTTTTTAAACGTCTGACCTCTGTTTCTTTTAATAGTCTAAAAGAACAGATAGCAAACTCTTAGAGAGGAATTGGGTATTTTATTATTAAAAGATGCAAGACATGGAGTCCTGAGGAGCATCTTTAGGCCTGATTATATTTCTTCTGGATATTATAGCCTTATATAGTAAACCACTCACGGTATTTGGAGTCACATATTTTTGTCAAAATGAGGATGTTAAAACTGATCCATCTTGCAGTAAATGAGCATAGCATCTTAGCTGAGAACCTGTGATGAATAACAGATTTGTTTTCCGCTATAGCCCAGAGAACAGTATGGGTTGTGATTATGTCTTTCTATCTGGCCCACTCCTCTGTTTGTCTGCCAATCACCTGGGGATTTATCTGCATTCAGCATTAGCTGGAGAAAGGTGGGAGCCAAATTACTGTTGATATACTTATGTATGTGTATGCAGAAGTGTGGAACAAAGACAAGCTGGTGGAAAACACCCACTCAGAGAACCAATAATAATCTTTTCTTCTTGCCCCTCTCCCTGCTTACTTTCAGCAACCACTGGAAAGGAAAGACAGCCAGAATAGTTCTCAGCACAGTGTTTCCAGCCACCGGAGCCTGCACACAGCATCCCCAAGCCACAGCACACAGGTGCTCCCCGAGTTCCCACCTGCAGAGGCCCAAGCTCCAGATCAAACTGACAGCTCTGGCCAGAAAAAACCAGATCCTTTTAAAATCTGGGCCCAGTCCAGGAGCATGTATGAAAACCGACGTGAGTAACATCCTGG